AAAATATTGACCAATATCGTATATCAAATTATGAAACCTATTTTTAACCTATTGGTCCTTGTATCATAGGCGATCTAACTTGATCTCGAGTGACTTTTCCTTTGAAAAATAGAAAATAAAACGAAATAATAATACATGGGTTTCCAACCTTTTGATAAATGGCACTCCGATCCCTAGCAAAATATTCTTGAGAATGACTATTTTTCTCGAAGGATCAGAAAAAATGGGCCCAAATCTCCTGTGGGAATGATTTGGAAGATCCAAAACCAAAAATAGTGGTATTTGCTAGCAACAACATAATGAAGACAGTTAATCAATATAGACTGATCCGAAATTTGATTCAAATCCAACCTAAACTTTTCATTTTAATAATACTTAAGTAAACATATGCAAAATGTCCAAAAATATTTAGGTACATGTAATTTTTTAATGTTTAAAGTGAATAGAAAATACAACAAAAATACAAAATTTAGATAATTATTAAATGTTAAAAAATTGATTAGACACATTTACGACGAGAATAAATTCTCCACTTGCCATTCTTCCGAAAATATCATTGGCGCCCGGCCCCACTTAGGCTCATAAGTGTACCAACTTTTCAACACAAACAAGGTTAAACATCATCGGGGTTCACCTAATTATTTTTAAAAAGTTTTCAATAAAGTAATTGAGCTTTGATTTTATTGTAAATCCAATCATTATGTTAAATGCAGTTGATGCATATAATAAAATTTGCTATATAGACTTTAAAATGAAACAGAATGTCACGTAGGATGAAGTTCGTATGTATAAATTTGCGAATGATGTAATGGAAGGATTTTTGGGTTGAGGAAATCGTGTTCGTAAAATCACACAACTTTGTCAATGTGAGATTTTAGTATCGTAACATTTGTCTGATAAGTGTCATATCATTATATTTTAACTTTTAGTACTCAAGCAAATCCCATCAACTACTCTCAGGTTAATCGTGTTTCTAATTTACTAATCAGTAATTTGCATCTTACATGTCATTTCTTCTGATTTTAATGTTAACTCAAGCAAATCCCATCAACTACATTCAACCAAATTGTGTTCCTAAAAGCACACACCTTCGTTAATGTGAAGATTTTACTAATGTGTCATTTGCATGTACACGTCATTTTATTTGATTTTAACGTTCACTCAAGCAAATCTCGTCAACTACACTCAAAACAAATCGTGTTACTAAAAGCACACAACTTTGTTAATGTGAAGATTTTTTAACGTGTCACTTTCATGGTATATTTCATTTCATCTGATTTTAACATTCAATCAAACAAATCTCATCCAACTACACTAACATTGTTATATGACTCAATTTAAAAAAAAAAAAAAAGTAATGTACAGTGACTTAATTAGGATTTTTTAAAGTTAGGTGACTTCCAATATAATTTACCCACACAAACAATTCCAGTTAATTGTGTGTATATCCTTAGGATTAAATCAATCATTAATTAATCGACTCCATTTCCAACCATAGATTCAAAGTCCAATCAGCACGCCAACAAATATCAACGGCCCAGATGGAACAAGACAAAATCTACATTACCCAGACGCAAACTCCATCACATCAATCATGTCATTCAATGCACTTAATTTTGTAAGTCAGCAGTCGTAAGAATGTTTCTCCAAATTTACTTCTTGTGACGTTAAATTATTGTTCTTGTTACCATCATTTTTATTGCCAAATTCACTGAATTTCTTGTCCGCACATACTATCCAATTATTGACCAGCCACCGGACATCCGTATACATCAGATTCTTCGAAGTTTCAGTTCTCATTCCTCATGAATTTTGTATTCTGAGAAAAACCCAGATTGGGTGATTGAACATCTGTATCTACTGTTCACGTAGGTGTGGTTTTTTATAGTTAATTTTCATGAATTGAAATGGGTTGTCTCTAATTTCTGGGAGCATTTGATCTGTTTCTCCTAAGCACTATTTCGACTGACCTACGTTAAATTCTTCGAATTATTTATCTATTTTGGTTTATATAAATTTTATTAGTTGGGTTTTATGTTGTTAATTTGCTTCAATTTAGATGGGCTGTTGTGAATTTGCAGAAAAGATAATCTTTTTAAGAATTCAAGTCAAATAAGCTACCTCTTGCAAATGAAAGTTTCCAATCCTGTCGGGGGTAATTTGGAAGTTTAGGATAAGAGAATGATGGCTGCCAGACTCACTTTTTGTTATCGAATTTCTTGTGGCTATGGTTAAGATACTTGGATATGGCTTTGCTGACTTTTGGGTTGTTAATTTGCTTGAGCTAAAAGGTGCTCTCATTAACTTCCATGAAAGATTGCATTCTTTAAGCTATAGGAGTATAAGAGCTATTTTTCTCTAGACAAACAACAAACTAAGTTTTTTTCTCAATAAATTTGAACTTGGCTACATGAAATGTTTTTAGCAAGTCTCTTTGTTGATTTCTAGATCTCCAACTCCCGCAATAGGCTGTTTAGCTATTTTTCTCTATCAAGTAATGAGAATTTTTCTAGTTTGGTAAGCCAAAGGTTCGTGTTGAAAGATCAAGGAATGAGGACTTGGCATACTAGGGATATGATCGTGATTTCTTATGCCTGTACATGTGGAGTTTAGTGATGGTTATATGTAATTTATTTTATGCTTCTATTGAGCTTTCGAGTTCTTAGTTGTGCTTTGATGCGAGCACGTCTATTGTAATTTTAAAGCGTGACATCAACTTCTTGTCAAAGTTTCATTGTTCAGTAAACAGTTTCTAGATCCTGTAATAATACTTCTTGTCAGAGTGTCAGCTTCAGTAAACAGTTCAAAAGTTTTTGATTTGTTGAGTTGCATGATTGTAATTAAACACAGTTCTGGTGTATTCATTTTTACGAAGAAACAAATGTTGCTTATCTTTTTCTCGTAAACGTTGAAAACTGAAACATAGCGATCATATTCAACATGTCACATTTGTATACATTTACCAAGTTTCAGCATAAATTTGAGAGTTGTGAATGCTCATGGTAGTCATATCTTGTATTACAACAAATATACTTGTTCAAACTGGAACTGATTTTGAGCTTTACTCACATTTCCTTCAATATTTTCTGTTACAGATGCTAAAAGTGATAAAAATTAACCAGAAGTGTAGTTGAAAGGCAACAGTCATTTTGGATTTGAAACAATAGGTGGTTGTTTTATTGAACTGAAAGCAAAGAGTGCATTATTAACAAATTTACAATTAGAAGAAACAATTTCAAGCAGAGTCACATGACATGGATGTCTCTGGAGCTATGTCTAGATCTTTAGCCATTCTGCCTGCTCCCTTGGAAGAGAAATATCCCAAGCTACCAGATTCACCTCAGGTTACTTTAGCGCAGGAACTGACTAGTAATCACAAATCTTCTTGCCCTGCTACACTGTCAAGTAACAGCCAAACTACGGGGAAATTGTTTTCATCTCCTTCTGGATGCTCTACAGATCTTCAGTCTTCTTGTATGTCTCCTCAAACATGTCGATTAAAAGTTTCTCCATTCATTTCTAAGTCACCGAATGAAAGAGTGTCTTATGCATCAAACCAGCCTCCCAACAATGTAAAGAAATCTAGACCATTGAATGGCTACAATACAGAGAACGATAATATTTCTGGGAATAAAAATGCAACTGAAAATTTTCTTGATCTTTGCATGAATATTCCTGCACAGAATGGCCAAGTAGAAACCTGTACTGGTGTAATGGCTTCAGAAGACCATACCAAGGGAACTGATTGGCAGGATTGGGCAGACCAGTTGATCACGGTTGATGATACACTGGACTCAAATTGGAGCGATCTCCTTGTTGATGTCAATTTTCTAGATTCAGAACCCAAGGTTTGTTTCTCATTAACAATGACTACAGTATGCTTGATTCTTCTGAATTAACATCAACCAAAATTATAATATAAATTTGGATACAGAAATAGGTTTATAATCTTCTGACATTTTTTTCAAAACCAGTGATTATTGTGAGGTACAGTTCACTTACCAACCATATGAGAGGTTTCTTTTTATTCCACATAGATGCTGGTATTGGCCCATAACATATATTAATCTAAACTTTTATTTCAGTTTCAGCACAGAATTTCTTGTGTAACTGTTACCACCATTTAAAATTTTAATGGAAGATAACATGTGTTCGTCTCATAGAAAATGTAATTTGCACAATAAAGAAGGGAAGTACCAATTCTAGGATGCCCACATGCTTCTGGAAGGAAGATTCTCATTGGAGAACTAGGATATCATAGTATTCGTATATTTTTCTCAAATATACCTTTTCTTTTATATTATTTGATTTAGTTGTGAGTTTCTTACAGTTCCTGGACTTGCCACCGAACGCCTCTGTGCATCCCCCACAAATTCATCAGCAGCACCATCATTCTGTGTCGAGTGAAAAAGATTCTCCTGTAGGTAGCCTTCCTGCTGCTGCACCCTTGACTAAAGCACGGATGCGTTGGACTCAAGAACTTCATGAAGCTTTTGTGGATGCTGTGAATAAACTTGGTGGTAGCGAACGTGAGCAACTTGCCCTTCTACACTTTCTCCCAATTTCATGAGAATTTGTAAACTGAATAATTCTCTGAATTGTGTTCTTGTTTCTTTCCCCATTTTTTCTAAAGGAGCTACACCAAAGGGTGTCTTGAAGCTTATGAATGTTGAAGGCCTAACAATCTATCATGTGAAAAGCCACTTGCAGGCATGTTGACAGGGTTTTACTGAGATTTTGGTTTTTTATAGCAAAACAATTCTTTCAAACTTAATATGGTTCATCTGAAATTTCAGAAATATAGAACTGCCAAATACAAACCGGAGACATCAGAAGGTAGAGGTTGCCTCTCTAGTTGTGTGTTATTTTCTTTTGTGCATGAAGCATATATGATGCCTGATTTCACTTAGAACATTGATTTTATGATTTCACTGAGAACTTTGGTTTTCTATGCAATTTATTTTATAATTTAGACAACAAAATCTCATTCAAGTATTCTAGCAAGATGAAATGATACATAAGTACTTAATGATCTTGACATTGCGATGCTATATCAGTATCGAAATTATATCTTGCGTGCGAGTGATTAAACTCTTCTTATCAGGGCATTTCCTTAATTGATGACGAGAACTTATTAGAGACTGCGTTCTTCTTAATGCAGGAACTTCAGAGAAGAAGTTGAATACGATTGCTGAGATGACATCCCTCGACTTGAAAACGTGAGTCTCTCTCTCTCTCTCTCTCTCTCTCTCTCTCTTTCTCACACACACACACACACACACACACATATGTCCATCCCATTGTTCATGTCCTACTTTCCTTTCCGGAAGGTTCAAGATAAGAGTAAATATAAAAAAGTCAAAGTCATTCTTTATCTTCTCTTCTAACTGAAGAAAAGGTATAAATACATTTCTTTTAACAAAACAAAAGGTGGATGGGAAAAAACTTGAAAATAAATCTCGAAACCCTGAAGCAAAACACTATGCGTAAAGTTGGATCTTAGAGATAGCCTCTCACTTTGGTTCCTTCCATGCATTGACCCCATGCACAAGCCCCCATATTGAGGGGTTTCAGAAGCAATCTCAAACTATGCAATCAAAAATTTGAAGAAACCTAAAATGTATGTCAGTTTCTTTACTTGTTTATTTACATTTTTTCCATTTACACTAGGTGATATTGACTGTTAGTTTGGTGTTGGGGGGGGGGGGGGGGGGGGGC